TGAAATAACTTTATTATACTTAATATCTTTATAGTACTCCATTGTGTGGATGTACCATAATTTAACTTTTTGTCTGTTGACAGTTATTTAAATTGTTAAACTTTCTTCTATAATAAATGCCATAATGAATATGCTTATATATACCCATTTGCATGCTTATTTAACAAATTCCTGGCAGAAACTTATGTCAGAATATGCACAGCTCCATATTGGATAAGTCAGAATATGTGCAGCTCCAGAAAGTGTTGACTAATTTACACTTCCTCCAACAGCACATGAGATCATCTGTATCAACAGCCTTTTAAACACAAACAGCTTTCAAACCAGGCCTTTTCCATCTGCCGTTGTGTAGTTGATGTTTTATGCTTGGGTCTAGAATGACCAATGTATTTATATAATATTGCATGGTTTTTGTTTTAGCTTGTCTTTCTGACCTATCCACGTTTTTTTGAATTACTTTTGGTTTTTCTCTCAGGTATTTGATCCTATTTTTGGTCATGCGCGAATTTACCATGCATGCCCTTTCTGTCTTCAAACTGTTGATAAAAATGTCTCTAGGACAATGGCAAGAACTTACTGTCTTCCTGTAGTTCACCATAAGCATAACCAACTCAAGGACTTGAGTGTGGATGTGTATTTGGAAGATGATTCCAGAAAGCAGCAGTGTGGGAGTCAGGAGAGAGAGGCAGGGAAGGAGAAAAAACCATTTGAGACTCTTACAGGCATTGGGGCTCATTTCTAAAGAGACCTCCTGAGAGGTATGTGAAATGCTTCCCAGAATTGTCCAGAAGGATGGATGTGTGTTGCGTATATCCACTGGTATCCATCACTAGCTGGTTATGTGTTTTCCCTGGGGGCATTGATATCTCTGCCCTTTCAGGCTGTGCTTGTGAATAGGGCCAGTGGGCTCCCTCTGCTTCAGAGAAGTCCCTGAGAAAGAAAACGAAGGATTCATAGTGCCCCCACCAAGCTTGGGGTAGAAGGCTGTCATGGCAAAAATGAGCTTGCCCAGAATATCTCCCGTAGCTGTAGCCAAGATCAGAGGTGGGGTGAAGGAAGCTACTATTGTGGTGCACTGCAAAAGTCCTCCATCTAGGTCGACATTAGTCCAGTAGTCAAAAGTTTAATTGGCATGTATTTCTGCATCTTTTCTATGAGGACTTTATAAAAGATTTTGACAAGCACATTGTGGAAATCAGACCAATAGCTGATAATCCCCGCTGCACCATAAGTTTAGCAGTCTTTGAAAATAAGGAAAGATGAGGTTTAAATGATTAATTCTTAGTGAACTCAGGCAGATTCCTAAGCACAGTGTCTTTTTTTTTTTTAAATAACGAGCTGTTTATTTAATGTGTTTTATAAATTTGCTGGAGGTTGGTGTCCATGGTCCAAAAATTTCCAACAGTCGTTACCCACCTCTTCTGTCCCTTGAAGACTTTACTGTGAATCTTCCAAGATTCCTGATGTTTGTGATTATAACTGAAAATGTGTTCAGTAGCCTGAGACCTAATTTGTCTGAACCTGAACTTTGAGTTATTTTGGTTTAACTAGCTTCTTTCTCATTGTGGCTACTTGTTTGCCTCTTTGCTTCTAAAGTCAGAGCAGGCCCATCTGACTTTTCCTTACAGGGAAGATAATACTATGCTGATTCTAGCACCATGTCCTGTGGTATTTAAGGAGATTCGGAGATGCAACATGCAGTTAGATTTGATGATACACCTGCTCTGACCTGGTACCTGAGGGTCTCATTTCTGGTCTCCAGTCTCATTTCCTTGCACTTGATTTCCTGCTTTAATAATGGGTCTAGGCTGGGTGCGGTGGCTCATGCCTGTAATCCCAGCAATTTGGAAGGCTAAGGCAGGTGGATCACTTGAGGCCAGGAGTTCAAGAGCAGCTTGGCCAACATGGTGAAACCTCATTTCTATTAAAAATACAAACAAAAATTAGTTGGGTGTGGTGGCGGTTCATATCAAGAAGATAAGATCATCTGCAGAAACCCAGAAGGCTAGAACACGATATTGAAGACAGTTTAATCCCAGCTACTCAGAAGGTGAGGCAGGATAATCGTTTGAACCTGTGAGGCAGGATAATCGTTTGAACCTGGGAGGCGAAGGTTACAGTGAGTCGAGATCTCACCATTGCACTCCAGCCTGGGGGACAAGAGTGGAACTCTGTCTCAAAAAACAAAACAAGCAAACAAAAAATTGGTACAGCACCTTTACCCATCAATTATTTGGGCTCTGTTTTCCTTTTTTTTTTTTTTTTTTTTTTTTTTTGAGACGGAGTTTCGCTCTTGTTACCCAGGCTGGAGTGCAATGGCGCAATCTCGGCTCACCGCAACCTCCGCCCCCTGGGTTCAGGCAATTCTCCTGCCTCAGCCTCCCGAGTAGCTGGGACTACAGGCACGGGCCACCGTGCCCAGCTAATTTTTTGTAATTTTTAGTAGAGACGGGGTTTCACCATGTTGACCAGGATGGTCTCGATCTGTTGACCTCGTGATCCACCCGCCTCGGCCTCCCAAAGTGCTGGGATTACAGGCTTGAGCCCTGTTTTCCTTTTATACTTTTCTCCAATTGTTGGAGGCCTGCTTCTCAAACTCAGCTTCAGTAATGTAGGGGCTTGGCTATCTGCTGTCAGATCACCTCGGGGCACTTGATTTGCTCTCCCTGTTTCCTTACTTTATATGTTTACAGTAGCTAGGCGTCACCTGCTTGTCTTCATGATGTTAAGATATGGTAAAGGGAATGAAGAAGCATTCCTTTTCATAATAGAGTGTTGGATGCATCAGGACAAGAGAGGAAGATGACATGGGAGAGTTTCACCATTTGAACTGGTGTTTGAGTTGATGTTACTGAAAGGTTGCATGTTGGTTAACCACGAAAAAATTCACCAGCCTGAGGCTCCTGATTGATTCTAATGATAACCAGGGTAGCTGGGAGCCAAGTGTATGACAGGAACTTGGAAGTAATGGCAACATGCTTGACAAACACTCAGGTACATTGTTGCTGGGTGGTGTGTGTGTGTGTGTGTGTGTGTGTGTGTGTATGCATGTGTGCACACATGCATCCCCATGGAAATAGTCACATACTCATCTGAGCATATGCAACTGAGAGAAGGCTATCTACCAGGATTTATGGAAGGATAGGAAGAAAAGGTTGCTAACACCATGTGATGAGCATGGATAAAAACCACTTTGAGGGGTTTCTTTTAGGTGTAGGATATAGTTTGTGCACCTGGGTTCCTTGATCTTGTATTTATCTTTGTAAATGTAGACTGTAGGGGAAAAGCCTTTCTGAGATGTTGACATCTCTGCTCAGTTCCTTATGTTGTTTCCATGGCAGTTGGAAGCCACACCCTCTAGAGAGGTGCCACTCCTCATTGGATCTCCGTGGTGCCATTCACCAGCCTACCTAGCTGGACTTCCTTCTGCAACCTGGTAACCTGTCTTCAATATCATATTCTGGCCTCCTGGGTTTCTGCAGATGACCTTATCTTCTTGATGTGAAGTTTTACTCCCATGTCCTTTAAAAATTAGATTTATGCCTTTTGGCCCAAGAATGATCTTTCTGTTGTCACATTCCAGAAATTAATCTGATGTCTGTATCATAGATTTTTCTGGGATATTCTTAATAACTTGAAAAATGAATGATTAAATATGACCTATTTGAAAAAACATTTGTAAATATTTTATATGAATTGATTAAAAAATCAGGAGACATTCTTTGTTAGGTTTTTCAGCAGGCTCATTTGTCAGGCTAGTAAAGCACAGATCAGATTCTGCCATTTTTTAGTTTGACACCCCTCAGTTGCATCCCCTCAATCTCAGAATAGAGTGCACATGGCTCACTGCTCTCTTCAGTCCTTTGTTCTATGAAGCCCTCCTTGTTCTTTATGCTCAATCCCGCCACACTCCCTTTACCTCACACATGCACTTGTAATTCCTCCTTCTGAATCTCTGCTTCTTTCTTCTGTCTGAATGCTCTGCTCCCTTTTCTCCATCGGCTGACTACTCCTTAACCTTCAAGATTGGGTTTGGTCATCACCTCCTCCAGAAAGGCTTCCCTGATTTTTCCCTTACTCCAGGCCAAATGGGCCAAATGGACCAAATGGACCAGGGCATCTAGTGAGACTGAATGGAGCATACATTCTTTTGGGTTGGTTTGGCTGCATTGTCTTCTTCTTTCTCTTGTGATAATGAAATTATGATAAGAAAAGCTACAAGCAAGTAAAGGAAATAGTAATTAGGGGAGGAGCATCGCACAGTTGAGCTAGCTAGCTCCCTCCATAGGTACTGTCTGAGAAGGAATCTCAGAGGGGTTTGAGCAGCACACAAATACAATCATAAGGGAGATAATATTGGTTGTGTGTATAAAAAGGGTTAGCTGTGGTCAGTGTAGATGATCAACTGAATACATGTGTGTGCCCATTGCCTCACATGCCCTACCTGATGCTGCTGAGGCCTTGTGGGAAATCTGGAGGGGGAGAGTGGAGGGTAGGCAAGGTCACTGAGGCTGGCTGTGATGTATGACAGACTGGGGGTCCTGGAGGGCCAACTCAGAATAGAATGGGAAACAACTTTATGTTGGTTTCCAGTAACCCTCTGTAAGCATGTCGCTATCACTCCCCACTACAGCCACTCTTCCTTGCAAATCCTTGCTTGGGCTCTACCATGGTCCTGGATCCCTTCTTTCCTTCATGCCAATTTCCTCTCCTGCTGTTTTTGAATTCTGGGCACTTCACACCCTCTCTTTTGAGGTTGCCAGTGAAAAGCACAAAATTCCTTAATCTGTATTCCAGCGTAGAGTCCTATCTTTGCATAATCAGAAAAGATTATTAATATTTTTTTTCCACACAAAGGAGTTGATTTTACTGTTAACTTAGGCAGCTACTTTTGTACTAACTTAATCCTAAGAGTGTATTCTCTTTCCTTGGCCTACTAGAGTGTTTCCAGGTGTGGCAGGTGGGTGTAGGGAAAAACTCAAGAGGACTCTGTGGTATAGAAAGATGTTGGTCTCGATACGGAAGTGGCCCCGAACAGGAAGAGGATGAAAAAAATAACCGTCCGCGCCGCCGAGACGAACCGGACCCGCAGCCACCATGAACAGCAAAGCTCAATATCCAACACAGCCAACCTACCCTGTGCAGCCTCCTGGGAATCCAGTATATCCTCAGACCTTCCATCTTCCTCAGGCTCCACCCTATACTGATGCTCCACCTGCCTACTCAGAGCTCTATCGTCCGAGCTTTGTGCACCCAGGGGCTGCCACGGTCCCCACCATGTCGGCCGCATTTCCTGGAGCCTCTCTGTATCTTCCCATGGCCCAGTCTGTGGCTGTTGGGCCTTTAGGTTCCACAATCCCCATGGCTTATTATCCAGTCGGTCCCATCTATCCACCTGGCTCTACAGTGCTGGTGGAAGGAGGGTATGATGCAGGTGCCAGATTCGGAGCTGGGGCTACTGCTGGCAACATTCCTCCTCCACCTCCTGGATGCCCTCCCAATGCTGCTCAGCTTGCAGTCATGCAGGGAGCCAACGTCCTCGTAACTCAGCGGAAGGGGAACTTCTTCATGGGTGGTTCCGATGGTGGCTACACCATCTGGTGAGGAACCAAGGCCACCTTTGTGCCGGGAAAGACATCATATACCTTCAGCACTTCTCACAATGTAACTGCTTTAGTCATATTAACCTCAAGTTGCAGTTTAGACACATGTTGTTGGGGTGTCTTTCTGGTGCCCAAACTTTCAGGCACTTTTCAAATTTAATAAGGAACCATGTAATGGTAGCAGTACCTCCCTAAAGCATTTTGAGGTAGGGAAGGTATCCATTCATAAAATGAATGTGGGTGAAGCCACCCTAAGGATCTTCCTTTAATTTCTCTGGAGTAATACTATCCCATACTGGTCTTTGCTTTTAGTAATAAAACATCAAATTAGGTTTGGAGGGAACTTTGATCTTCCTAAGAATTAAAGTTGCCAAATTATTCTGATTGGTCTTTAATCTCCTTTAAGTCTTTGATTTATATTACTTGTTATTAAATGGAACGCATTAGTTGTTTGCCTTTTCCTTTCCATCCCTTGCCCCACCCATCCCATCTCCAACCTTAGTCTTCCATTTCCTCCCGCCAGTCTCCATTGAATCAATGGTGCAGGACAGAAAGCCAGTCAGACTAGTTTCCTTCTTTCCTTGCACTTCTCCCCACTTGTCATCTTTTAACTAGTCTTTCACAAGGATCCTCTGAAACCCCCTCTGTGCCTCAAGCACAGATCCCATTACTTCTGCTTTCAGATCTCCTCAGGCAAAAGTGGAGGGTGCCTTTTGGGCCCTCCTCATAGGTTGTCTCTGCATACACGAACCTAACCCAAATTTGTTTTGGTGCCAGAAAAACTGAGCTATATTTGAACAAAGTTATCGTGCAAACTGTACTGTGAACAACAGTTGGTTTAAAATACGAGGGGCAAGGAGGAGGATGCATTTCAAAAGCCTGATGTGTTTAGAGCCAAATTAAGAGGAATTTTCAGATCAAAAATTGGTTACCATTTTTTGTCAGTGTCTGATGCAGCCACTCATTCGGCTCCCCAAAATTCCTAGACTGGGTTAATAGGGTTATATTGTGAATGCCTGACTACAAAATGACTTGAGTCCAGTGAAATCTCATTAGGGTTAAGAATATTTCAGGGATCCTTTAATGTTTTGATTTTTGTTTTCTGAAATTGGATTTTATTTTATTTTATCTTATAATTTCAGTTCATCTAAATTGTGTGTTCTGTACATGTGATGTTTGACTGTACCATTGACTGTTATGGAAGTTCAGCGTTGTATGTCTCTCTCTACACTGTGGTGCACTTAACTTGTGGAATTTTTATACTAAAAATGTAGAATAAAGACTATTTTGAAGATTTGAATAAAGTGATGAAGTTGCATTAAAAAAAAAAAAAAAAAAGAAAGATGTTGGTCTCTAAGTCAGAAGACATTGCTTTAAATGTTCATTTACTGGCTTGTCACTGTGTGATTGTAGGCCTGCCCTTAATTGCTATATGCTTTAGTATTCCTATACTGGTTATAAAATAGGGATAATCATAACTGTTACTATCATGATTAAAGAAGATAATGCATGTTAAGGTGACTACTAGGACAGGGATTGGCTCTGAGTAGGTGCTCAAAACTGTAGATTTTTTTTTTAAGGTGCTTCTAATTTTGGCAGTATTATTAGTCATTATTGTGGTAACGGTGTTAGTTATCTTTTTTTTCCTTTGGATTTTATAGTCTCATACCCCAGCCAACAATCAGCATTTTCCATGTTTCTAAATTTTGGCAGTCTAATGGTAAAGTTACATTTCATTGTTGTTTTTTCATTTCACTGATTACGCATGGATTTGAGTGTCTGTTCCTAAGCGTGCTAGTCCTCTGGGGTTTCTTTCACTGTAAATTGCATTTGTCATCCTTTACCTATTTTTCCTTTGAGATTGCTGTCTTTTTATTCTGGATTTAGGAATTTCTTAGATATTCTAGCTCGTACTCTAAAATGGGTAAAGCACATACTGATGCTTTCTGACTAAGCTCCTCTCTACCCGGAATGTAAGAAACCTCATATGAGGTAGGAATATCATCACCCCTATTCAGTCTCAAGAAATTACAGAATATGGATCTTTATCTCTCTACAACTCTTAGGATTAAGGGTTCTCTTATATAAGGGAGGGGGGAAATGTCAGAGGCATTTGAACCAGAATGCCTCCCTCTTAGATAGGGGCTGGGTAAAATAAGGCTGAGACCTACTGGGCTACATTCCCAGGAGGTTGGGCATTCTAAGTCGCAGGATGAGATGGGAGGTTGGCATAAGATACAGGTCATAAAGACCTTGCTGATAGAACAAGTTGCAGTAAAGAACCCAGCTGAAACCTGCCAAAATCAAGATGGCAATGAGAGTGACCTTTGGTCGTCCTCACTGCTACACTCCCACCAGTGCCATGACAGTTGACAAATGCCATGGCAACATCAGGAGGTTACCCTATATGATCTAAAAAGAGGAGAAACCCTTAGCTCTGAGAATTGCCCACCCCTTTCCTGGAAAACTCATGAATAATCTACTTATTCAGCATATAATCAAGAAATAACCATAAAAATGGGCAACCAGCAGCCTCGGGGCTGCTCTGCATTAAGGAGTGGCCATTCTTTTATTCCTTCACTTTCTTAATAAACTTGCTTTCACTTTAAAGAAATAAATAAAATGGGTGAAGCATTACAAATATATTCTCCTAAACTGTCAGCGCTCTGTTAATTTTGTCCATGGTATCCTTTGTTGAGCTGAAAAGCTTACTTTTGAGAAAACCTCGCTGGTCAATGTTGTGCCTTTTTGTTTGTGCTTTTGCATCTTGTTTAAGAAGTAGTTCTCATCGTTAGATCACATAGACCTTCTACAGTTTCTCCTAGCTTTATTGCTTTGACTTGGAACTTAGTTAATGGATCTGCTTAGACTCCACATAGGGCTTTGCATGAGGTACTGGGGCAGGGCTTCGGTTCTACTGTGTTCCTTGTTATCTTGTTTGTATATCCAGAATGTGACAGGTACACAGTAGTGTTCAGTAGCCAATTGAATGAAAGAATTGAGATTTCCTCAGAGTTAGGGAAAGTAAATGTGTATGTTTCCAAATCCTGTGAAGGATATATCCATTTGACTGAGGGGAAGCATGGTTAGAACTGGTGGGCAGAATCCCTCCTCTCCACCCGGTGCAAACATTGATTCAGGGGCCATGGGTGAGGGGTTGGTAGTGGGAGGATAGATTAAAGAAAATGCTTATCTATTCATTGAAAATTATTCAAATACTCTTTTCTATTAAGTGTTATGTGAATCAGGATGTAATAAAGTCAAGGGCAATATTAAAAATATCTAACAGTTGGCACTGAATAGGCATTCACTAATCAGGATGAATGCTTTAAGTGTGTAATACTGGTGTGATTCGCTGAATATTAATTGTGGAAACTAGTTGTTAGATATTATTAAATGGTATATATAAAATACTTTATGAACTAAAGACGTATACAAATGCTAGTTATTACTGTTACTAGCTGTACTTGGCCACATAGAAATGTAATTTAAAAATTCCCCTTTTTTCTACATAATACTGATCCGGTTGCCATAATACAACTCCATGAACCAGTGAATGAAATAAGTCAATTAATTACAAAAATGTCCTTTGACTTTCTTGAAAAATTCTCTTTCTCACAGTGCAACCTGAAATCAGAGGATTAAGCGGCTTCCAAGAATGTTACCTGTTATTCGACCTACGATCCTTTCAGTAGAAGTTTTATTTTAGAAAAGTTTGAGCGGAACCTTATAGTTCTTCAGTTGTAGAAAAACATTCCAGTAGGTGGAGCTCTTTCTCAATGTTTGTTCAGTTTTTAACTATGGTAGGGACTCGTTTCTTTTTCATCTTTCTTTTCTACAATGGCTTAGTCATAATAGTACAGATACTTACAGCAGCATCTGAAATTATCATCAAATATAGGCCATATACTTCTGTAAAATGAGTTTTTTTCCCCAAGTTGTTTAATGGAACAGCCATGGTTAATTTCCTTTTGAGACCTGATCAAACACCATAGGATTTTTTTTTTCTCCCTTTGATTATCTGCATCAAAGATCTAAAAATACCTACCTTTTACTATGAAGCTATGTCTAGGTCCAAGATCAAATAGTGCATGTTTTTGTTCTCAATTCTAGTCATGCATACCAATGACTTAGCTCTTGTGTTGTATGGTCTGTGTTGCTGCACACCTCCTATATATTAAGAATTTTAAGTTGGGGCTTAGAAGCTGCAAATGTGTATGGTAATAAATATAAGGATAGCAAGAGGGTTCTTTCTAGTCTGGGTAATTCATTTAGTACCATCTCTACAGGCCTCTCTACCAATCTGGAGTTATACACAGGAAACAGAATTAAAAGGAAGACGTGTTTAGAGATGGCCACTTTAGAGGCAATATACTGAACTGCAAAATGGACATCTGTGAAATAATGAACAATTCCAGAACTTAGCAGGTTTTTAAGCTTTTGCAAAAGCTAGTAATGTACTTAGGAAAAAATTATCTCTGGTTTACTTTGGAGTGTAGTTTTTACTAATTTATTAGTAAACCTTAAAAAAACTTCAAGTGCTACATATGGAAATCTATAGGAAAGTTATCACATTGTTCCTTCAGAGTTTTGAGTAGAAATAAAAAATAATTATAGCCGAAGTGTCCAGCAACTGAGCTCACAGTGTGAAAGCAGAAAAAAACAGTACATTCGTTTTTTTACTTGTTCTGTTTTATTTCTATCCTTTGCTGTGGTTTGACTTATGGAAAATATAGAAAGCACATCTAAAGAATGGAGTATTTTTCTATGATTAGCCTTGAGGCATGACAAGTGGACAGTAGTAATGCAATATGAGGATGTGTTGGACCAGACATGTTAGACTGCCTGCTAATGCCAAAGAGATGTCTAAAGAAATGAGAGATACTGAGGGGTAGCTGCTGTTATTGTTCACTGAAATTTCTAAGTATTAGGAAGGAGTATTGGAGACAACCCAGATAATTGTGTGGCTGCTGTCCTTATGCTTCAAGCCTAATAGTAGGAAATGCAAGTAAACTTAATTCAAAAGATACTTACTAAGCATGCAATAAACAGTGTTAGGAGCAGGGCACAGTAATTTAAATAAACACGAATTTGTTTTCATAGAGGAGACATACAATTGGATAATTCTACTTGTAAAACATTATAATAAATGTTATAATAAAGATGTATATGAAATGCAATTTATACATTTCCCTGACCCTTGGTTTCTTCATATGCTGTCCTCTAGTCATAAGCATTTACTATTGTTTAACCAATATGACAGGGATTTTTGTCCAATATTTTAAAAATAATTTAATCACCACAACTATGAGAAGCATATTATTATCATTGTTTACAGATGAGGTTTGGAGCAGTTAGGAAAGCAATGGCTCATTGATCATCTTTTGTTATGTATAATGTTCTGTTCCAGTATCATATTCTGGGCCCTGGGGAGTAAGAAGCTTGGGTTAATATACTCAAGATACAGTAAGACCTGTCCAAAGTTTTGGGGTGTCTAATCTTGGTGAAATTATTTAACATTAACTTGTCCTTTTCAGTGAATTTAGCAGAAGACCCTCAATAAACATATCAGAAGATCTTTTCCTTTTGGATGTTACAAGATGTCATTGTATTGCTGTGACAAGGAGAGATGAAAAAATTCATCAGGAATAAATGTCCTTTCCTTTTCTGCTTAGCCTGGAACTATTGCTTCCAGGGACAATCCAGTCCATGGGAGCTCCCAGCTGAGGGGACTGCCTGCTGATTTATTGGCACTGAGAACAAGTGTTCAGCAGGAGCACCAGCTCAGAGGCGAGTGGGGGTGGCACTCTGTGATCACACCTCCTTTTGGAAAGCTCTGTGGACTCTAACAACAGTTACTCTTCATTGTCTCCCATCTCCTTCAATGGTGTATTGGTGTCTTGGTCAGCAGCCCTCATATTTCAGCACCACAATGGAGCTCACAGCGCTTTCCTAGTTGAGTTCTTCAAGGGCAAGTCTTAGGGAAAATGGGTTCACCAGAAAAGTGAACCCGGGAAACTGATCTTCTCTGAGGTTACCTTCTAGCAGTTTTGAATCTCTGAAACAGGATGTAGTTCTTCAGACTTCCCTTGCTCAGACTTAGCTCATTTGGGTTACTATAAAATGCCTATAATTTCCTATAGGCAATGTCTAAAACTAAAATTCCTCTTCAAATGCCTCCTCCACCCACAGGTCATGAAATCTGGGAGCGGCTTTGGAAATCTAATGTTTCTCCAAACTGGGTACATAGAACCTAGTTTCCTTAGGGTCCCTGGGTTAGGTAATATAAGTGGTCAATTTTTTT